AGATAAAACGCTGTTGGGAGGCAGGTACGTTAACAGCAGACCCACTTCACCCTTGAGGTCCAACTTCACCAGTAGGGACTCACACCCGACAAGCTCCGGAGCAGGGATCCTACGAGGTGCTAACGACTCCCGGATAACAATAGCCACACCCCCACCCCTTTCTCTGGGCTCTCGGCTGATGAAGCACCTGAAATCCGTCTGGGCACATCTCTACGAGGGGGACTCCTCCCTCCGTGCCCAGCCAGGTTTCAGTAATACATGCCAGGTCTGCCCTCTCGTCTAAAATTAAGTCCCGGACGAGGGGAGCCTTGTGAACAACAGACCTGGCATTTAGCGACAACAGCCTGAGATCAGGGTCCTGATTACCCGCGCCATCTGGCCTCGGAGTGGGACTCATAGGGCCGGAAGGAGGGATCTCTGTGACGTAGCGAACCCTCCTTCCCCGGTAATGGCCAGCCCTAAAGTCCCCGCCATATCTGCCCCTCCCTGTTACGACCGCAATGCCCCGACCCACTCCCGTGGCCGTGATTCCCTCAGCCACCCCTATGGCTCCCGCATTCCCCGGCAGGCCCTCCGAATCAGTCACACTCATATATTCACTCAGTCAGTGTTGAGTGGTATACCACCATTCCATGCCTAGCCAGAGATGTTGTGGAAATCTTGAACCAATGTCTGGAGCCTCTGATGGACTGGGTGGAAAGAAACAAGCCTTAGCAAGCTGGATATACTGTCTGTCTTAAAATTCTGGGTTTTTAAGAAATTCTGGTTCCAGGATTACCTGAGGTGGGGTAATCCTTCTCCTGAAACTGCAGATAGAAGTTACAGCTATATGTTTGCCCATATTTTGCTGGTATGCCACTTATGTCCTCCTGGAAGCATTGAATCATATCCTTACCACCAAATATTTGGACTGTTGCAGTGTACTTTACTTGATGCTACTTTTGAAGGCAGTTCAAAAGCTGAAACTGCTCCAGAATGGAATGACTATGTTAGCTGATGAAACCTGCTATTCAGAATAATACCTGAACACAAGAATAATACCTGCACTGTTTGCCGATAAGCTTCTGGGCCAGGTTCAAAATGCCAATAATTACTCATAAAGCTCTCTGTTGTGATTCAGGTTCTATTAGGAACTGTCTTTCTCAGAATGATTCTGTCCATCCTATGAGTTGGCTGAGAGAGGGCCTGTTTCTATTAGATATGAAGAATTGATGGGCTACAAGGCAGGTCTTTTCTATGGCAGCCCAACTTTTCCTAGAAAAGCTTCCCCTCTCCTCCCCTTTCCCTCCCCCCTTGCTATTTAAGCAAGTTTTCAGAGTTACATTGATGGGTAGAGTATTTTATCATGTATATTTTCAGTATGATTTTGGTGGGTAGTGGTGGTTGTGTTGCAATGATTATGTTATATCATACATACTGCCCTAGGTTGCCTGAGCAGATGTTATGGTACTTTGTAAAATAAATAAAATGTAGGGAACACTTTTCTACAAGTGATGAGACTTGTATGGGGTGTTTCTTACCATCCTGTTAAGGATAGGATATTTCAGCATTACCTATAGATACGGTGATTCCACTTTTTGAAAAAAAATAATAAAAAGAATAAATTTGGAAAAAAAAGATCTGAAACTGAAAACAGTTCAAAAGGATAAGAAAAAATAATTGTTTATGTTTATAACTTTGCTTTACAAAGGAATATTCAAGAGCAAACTGGGAAAATAAGTAATTAAACAAATTTAAAGGACAACTTTCTGAAATAAAGGATATCTTTTATAATAAAGGACACATGGTCCCTATACATTTAGGTGAACCAACCTGGATATTTGTTAAAGACATACTCATGCTTATTTCTGAAGATATTTGAGAAAACCAGGACTAACAACAATAAAAACAATATTCTATTTATTACAGTACTGCACAAGTCACCATTCAGTCATAATACAGCTATTTCCATTCTGACTATGGAGGAAGCCAACTGTATTTTGACACATATTTTTGCCTATTTGGCAAAATATATTTTCTGAGTGATACATGACATGCTTCTTATTGGTATTTCAGCCACTGATCTCTGCAATACTGTAGAGCATGGATGTGAATTTAAATGTCTCAGTAAGCCTGGCTCTTACCATTGTGTCTGTCCAGAAGGCCAGCAACTGCAGGCAGATAAGAAGACATGTAACAGTGAGTATCAAGGTCTTTGTGATTGATAAAAGGCTCCTCCAATGTATTGGGTATTTTTCCCAGCTAAGCATCTCATGAAAAGTAGCCATAGAGATTATTCCAGAGAAGAAGCAGACAACAAAGAGTGGCATTTTGAATGAGCGCCATCACTTTTGCTAGTGGGTATTTTTACTGAGTAAGGGTGGCTCAGTGGCTAAGACGCTGAGCTTGTCGATCAGAAGATCGGCAGTTTGGTGGTTCAAATCCCTAGCACTGAGTAATGGAGTGAGCTCCCGTTACTTGTTCCAGCTTCTTCCAACCTAGCAGTTCAAAAGCATGTAAAAATGCAAGTAGAAAAATAAGAACCACCTTTGGTGGGAAGGTAACAGCGTTTTGTGTGCCTTTGGCATTTAGTCATGCCGGCCACATGACCACTGAGACGTCTTCGGACAGTGCTGGCTCTTCGACTTTGAAACAGAGTTGAGCACCGTCCCCTAGAGTCGGGAACGACTAGCACATATATGCGAGGGGAACCTTTACCTTTACCTATTTTTTTCTGAACTGAATTCAGAGATGTGTTTCTGATCCTTGGAGACATTTTAGGCCAGCATACCAAATCATAAATGATTTGTTAAAAACTTAAAGTCATCATGAGAGTTATATTACTTTCTGGAGCTTATTGGATGTCCCAGAGTAAGCACCATGGATTTGAAGAAGACAAAAATGCATTAGATTGAGAAATGCTTTTAGGATTTGTGGTGAAAGAATGAAAGAACTGCTTGATTCCCCTATAATCTAGCAGAAAGCTTGGGGTACAATTCAATGAACAGGCATGCAAAGATTTTGATGTATAAACATATTCAATATATCAGCCTTGGCTAGAGTTAGATATGGTTCCCATGCAACCCCAAAGGGTTATTAGGAAAAACAAAGTTTGATCTAATATGAGCTAGTGTCTGAAAGAAAGTCAGACAAAATTCCAGTAATGCAGAGAATCTGATTTAAGTTATGCCAGTAGTGATTCTGTGTATTTGGATTCCTTTTTATTTAGCCACCTCTGTGAGTAACAGAGGAACTGACTTGACTATTTTGGCTTTGCATGTTCTGATTGGATTGTAGTGGTCTGAATCCTATTGGCATATGTGAACTTGCCTGGTTAACTGAGAAGCCTGTGCTCTGTGGTAGCTAAATTACTTCCAGAAAGGTGAATTTGAACCATTGCTTCATCCCTACTCTGATATTCAATGAGTAGGTAAAGGAACAGCCATGTCTTCTATGACAAAGAAACACACAAAAGGTTCAGAAGCAATAATACAGATGGTCCTTAATTTACGGTCACAATTGCAGAGGTGGGTTCCTACTGGTTTGGACTGATTCTCCTGAACCGGTAGTGCTGCCTTCAAACAGAGAGTGAACCAGTTCTCTGTTGTTTTTAAAAGTGGGCCTGCCTGCCCACCCCAGGGTTATGCTTACCTTCATTCCAGCTTCCAAAGCCCAGCTGATCTGGGGCAGCAGCTTGAATTGCCGCTCCTCAGCTGTTTTCCTTTTTTTCTGACTAATTTTAGCTCAATTGCACACGTGCCCAGCACACGTCTGGCACACGCTCAGCAAACTGGTAGCAAAATGGTTAGGAACCCACCACTGCACAATTGGGACCAGAAATTCTGTTGGTAAGCAAGGCAATTGGTAAGAGAGTCATGCCTGATTTTTCAACTTCTTTTTTTGCATTTTTTAAGCAAGTCAGTACAGTTATTAAGTGGATTGTGTGATCATTAAGTGGAATTCAGCTTTTCCCATTGACTTTTTGTCAGAAGCCAACAGGAAAGGTTGCAAATTGTGATCACATGATCCCAGGACATTGCAACAGTCATGCATGCTATTATACATGCTAGTTGCCAAGGTCTTGAACATATGACCATGGGGATGCTGTGTCAATTTTAAGAGCAAGGACTGGTTGTAAGGCACCTTTTTCAGTGCCATTGTAGCTTTAAACAGTAGCTAAATGTAGGATTGTAAGTCAAGGACTACAGGCTGGAAACAAGCCTGTTTCTGGACTTCTGGAACTTCCGGTAGGCCTGTTTTCCCTGCTCCTTGAATCTCTGTGTGGGCCCTGCACTTACCTGGCATGATGAGTGGGCCACGTGGAGACTCTTGGAAGGGAAAGGACGGGGCGAGGTGATAGGGCTGTGGCGGGCATGGCCAGCCAGAGGTGGCATTTGGGGGTTTGCCGAACTGGGCAGAATCCTAGCTAGAGTATCTTCCGAACCCATCTGAGCCCTCAGCAGCCCACCCTTGCTGACAGGGACTTGCCTGTTTTTCTTTTTTTTTCTTGAAGTCAAAATCAAAACAGCCTCATCTCAACTTTTTTTCTCCCCTGGGCAATAGAGTGCAAGGCTGGGCACATTGACTTGGTGATGGTCATCGATGGCTCTAAGAGTGTCCGGCCCCAGAATTTTGAGCTGGTGAAACAATTTGTCAACCAGATAGTGGATTTTCTGGACGTGTCCCCTCAAGGCACCCATGTGGGACTGGTTCAGTATTCTAGCCGGGTGCGCACTGAATTCCCACTCGATCAATTCACCACAGCGGATGAAGTTAAGGAAGCTGTTCAAAGAGTGCAGTACATGGAAAAGGGCACCATGACTGGCCTGGCCCTCAAGCACATGGTGGAACACAGCTTCTCTGAGGCAGAAGGTGCCCGTCCTCTTTCTCAGAATATTCCCAGGATTGGCCTGGTCTTTACGGATGGACGCTCTCAGGATGACATCTCAGAATGGGCTAGAAAAGCCAAAGAATCAGGTAAGGCAATTAATGGAAAGTGTTATATATTTGCATTGTTGAAGGTAGCCTATATATAGTGCTCTCTAATTTTAAATTAAATTAATTTTTAAAATTTTAAGTAGATTTTTAAGAAATTAAATTTTAAATTAATATTTTTTTAAAAAAACACATTTATTTTTAAATTAATAAATTAATAACAATTTTAACATTAAATTAAAATTTTAAATTTCCTAACAGTGAGAGCAATTAACCGGTGGAACAGTTTGCCTTCAGATGTTGTAGGTGCTCCATCACTGAGGCTTTTAAGAAGATCAGCCACTTGTCTGGAATAGTATAGTGTTTCCTTGAGCTTGAACAGGAGGTTGGACTAGAAGACCTCCAAGGTCCCTTCCAACTCTGTTATTCTAATTCTGATTCTTTTGTCCAATTTTCCTTCACACCAACAACCTTGCAAGAGACGTTGAGCTGCAAAAGAATGATTGCCCATAGTAAACCCTTGAGTTTCCATGATTGATGGTATAATTTTGCTTGGATCTGCCCTATCATAGTGCGGTACTTTAAACTCTATAACACGTCAGCTCTTTCTATGTTTACAATGTGTTTAATTGATTCCAACACTATTATTCATAATTGCATAGATGTTAGTGATATAGATAATATAATAAAGGGCTCTGAACTGGTTTAATCCTTGAGAACACCTCCCAAATGGACACACTTTGCTATAACACATGGCAGAGATATACTAAATTATAGCTTTCTTTTGAACAACAGCTTGATCACTAAACTTGTGTGAAGTGGTTTGGTTTCACGTCATTGAGGTGCTTTGTGCCACAGAAGCAGTGCAGTTCCATTGCTCTTCCAACTATAGGAACTGTTGAATGGAATTCCTATCATCTCCAGAAGAGCTGAGAAATGATGCATTAGGCCTTCAAACTAAAGTATTTCTTGAAAGCTTTGCATAGCACATTGATCATTTATCCAGTGGCAGAATAATTTATATGCAGCTTCCAATGTCAGGACTTAATAAAATAATTAGCAACTTACTGATCTCACAGTGTTTCCATATGGTCTTCCAGATGTCTAACTCTCAAAAATCCTACCCAGCATTCCAGCTGAAATTTATGAGAGGTGCACAACATATCTAGAGAGCATCAAGTAATGAAAGACTCAATTATATAAATTCAGACAAGCTTTTTTATATTTGAAATGGAAAATAGGACGTTGCCATTATTTTAGAACTAGATTGTCCAGCTGGGCATGGGGTGGAATGCAACAGCTGGAAGCTGTTGGACTCTAGTTCCTCATTCACCATGATCAGGGATGATGGGAGTTAAATACAATTAATTAGTGGTACAACTTTCCTCCAGAAATTGTAAATGCTCCAACACTGGAAGTTTTAAAGAAGAGATTGGATAACCCATTTGTCAGAAGTGGTGTAGGTTTTTCTACCTAAGCAGGGGGTTGGACTAGAAGACCTCCAAGGTATCTTTCATCCCTATTATTCTATTCCAACAAGTTTTCAATCCTGGTCTAGGCCAAGCGAGATTCTCAGATACCTCCTCCTATTTTATTCCTTTAAACGTAACAATTATTAACTATGTTCACATTAATGGAGTTTCCTTATGTGGCTTCCATCTCTTTTGAGCCAGGTGTTTGTGACTAATTAGTCAATTCTCTAATTTCCTTCTGTTATTGCCAAAGGAAAAATGTATAAGAGTTTCAGATTAATAGTATGTAAAAAGAAAAAAAAAACCCTAAGATACTGATACTACTTTCTTGGCAGTTATTAAAATTCCAAGTGATGAAACAGATAGACTGCTCATGTTTTGCAAACTGAACCCAGAACTAAGAAAAAAAATATTTTGTCCATTGCCAGTGTTATTTTTGGATTTGAATGCCTTATGTCTCACTGAAGCTGATCCAGACTTTCTGCCCTTGCTTTCCCCCCAAGAATGGCCAAATGCATTAAGTGTGACAAAGTGAACAGAAATTTCTCAAAAGAGCTGGCTCTTTGCCTATGTCCAAAATATGATAATTTGAGTCTGGTGATTTGTATCTTGAGTGAGAATTCTGCATTGATTTGTTCTGTGATCCATTTATTCATTTTATTGGGCTTGCATTCCCAGGAGACTTCTCCAAAGTTTAAAAGTGTCAATACTCCTTCTATTTGTCTAACTTTCATTTTCAGAGTCTCACGGGGAAGATCATTGTATACATGACTCAGCTCTTTGTAGATATACACTTATTTGTTCATTTAAATAATTTATATGGCTGCCTGTCTCACAGACATAATCTCAGGTGGCAAACAACAGCCAAAAGCTGTTCTATAGTACATAAGAGCCTGGCTATATTATTTATTTGTAAACTTTATTGGCCACCCATCTTATCTCAGGCTAACTCAGAGTGGCTTTGCTGCTATTACTAGGCTTTTTTTAAAAAAAAAACTCCTTGTATGAATAAAAGTCAATTTAATATGTGGGCACCCATCTGAATGTATGTGTCATTTTGGTTGTTTGGAAATTATGTTAGCAATTAAAAAGTTGTTGGATTGATAAAACATTCTTTGCTTCATTTCTGTTTGCTATGCTGCACAGTCCATCTACATTTTCCTTCCTGCTGTTTTCAGCTGTCTTTAACCACAAGCAACACATCTTGTTCTGTCAGTTTCAAATTGTACGTGATATGAACGAAGGCAAATATGTGTGTCCCTGGATAATGTAGCAGGATCCAATCTGAGTCAGTCACTGGGACCAGACTGGATCCTGCAACTACTAAACTACAAAAGCCACCAGCCTACTCTGATCAGGGATTGAAGAATAGACCTAGTTAATCTTCATATTGAAGGATTGTTCATGAAGTCTAATTGATATTGTTCAGCTACAGATTGTAATATACCCAAGCCCAGTCTTTGCTATATCCATCTTGACTATGAAAGCGATACTATCCTTCTTTGCTTTTCATACCCTGAACTCTATTTCAATTCACTGATGCCTAATATGTCCATGTGTAGTTAGTCCACATTTGACTTTTTAGCTTTCCCATATTCATGCTTTTTATGTTCCGTGTCCATATTGCTGCTCTTCAATGTAGATGTCTGCTTGCTTTAGAATCCTAAGCAGTTGGTTGTAAGTTGAGGACAACCAGTAAGTATAAATAACGCCTATATTGTTTTGCTTCAGTGACAATTTGCAGCTTTTCCATGGATGTTTAAGTGATATCTCTCCACATGTCCATCCACCATGTTATTCCCCTCAATCTTGCAAACATTGTTAAGTTTTCCAACACATCAAGTGTTTGCATTCTATATCCAATGTGGGAATTTCTCCTTGCAAATTATGACTCAAGGAAACAATTAGCCTTTATTTGGTCCAGACCTGATTTATTGGTGTTTCCATGGTACTCTTAGCAACTATTTCCAAATCTATAATTTGACTATCCAATTTGTTGTTATCTTTCTTTCTTTACATCTTTATCTATTCCTAAATCAAAGGAAATAACATTATTTACTATCTTCTATTCTTTGTTAGCAGTGAATTCATTAAGCATGGTAGTTGATATTAGCATTGTCTTAATATTTAACATAACACAGCCTTCCATCCTTCCAAGCAAGGTAAAATGAGAACCCAGACTGTTAGGGGCAATATGCTGACTCTGTAAACCGCTTAGAAAGGGCTGTAAAGCCCTGTGAAGTGATATGTACAGTAGACTTCTAAGTGCTATTGCTATTAAGCCAAGATTTTCACTATTTTTAGATTCATAATGAGCTCCTCTAAGCCTTCTTTACTAGTTTGATATAAGTAACAAACAAGCAAGCAAAGATATAATTTCTGAAAAATGAGGTATATGTGTCCGCATTTTTCTCATCTCTTCATCCCATTTACCTATTAAGGTGCAGTTTAAAATAAATATTCACACAAATGCTTCAATTTAAAGGTACCAGCATGTGTTTATAATCCACTTAGAATATATGCATGTATGCATATTGCAATATATGCATGTATATATAAAGTTAAATGTGCTTAAATGCATTTTTGTACATTGTTTTGCCCTGCAGGGTAATATTTATCAGGGTTTTGGTTGCTTATTTGTTAAAGAAAAAACAATGGTGGAAAAACATTTTGAACTCTTTCTGAAATTTGAGTTGCAACACTTGTACAGCACTGTAAAAAGGAATGATTCTAATAGTACCTGAATCACCTCTCTGCCAGAAGACAAAGGGTACAATGCAGTGGGATACGACCGGTACGCCCCGATAAGGGCATACTGGTGCCTGCAGGGAGCACCAGGTACCATTCCGTTACGGTGCTCTGGAGGGCTCACCTGCCTGCCCTCCTTACCTCTATTTGAGCCAATCGGGGCATTCGTCCACACTCACGGAGCATACGGTGCCTGCATGATGCTCCACCGAACAGCTGGAGCATCGCGGGCGGTGGGTATGCATGTGCGTGCTGTGCGTGTGTTGTGTGCATGCTATGCGCGTGCACGTGGTGGATGCCCAGCCCCGTTGCAGCGTACCGGTTGTAACGGGATCCGGAATTCACCACTGGTACAATGGTATTAATGGACAAATCCCCAATTTTCAATCCCATTCACACTGAGATGGGAGCTGGGGAAGATTAAAATATTTCAAAATCTGGTTTGGCTTCCATAAGACAATATTAAAGCATGGTCGAAGAAGATGCCATTTCTCTAAACTTAGCAAAATTTAGCTACTTCATGAAAAACCAGTGATCTAGGTAATGTGAAGGAGCTCCCATTTTCACCCACCAGTGGCCAGTAGAGCTGGCAGCAGATTCAGACAGTGAGGAGGTTGGGGAAGAATATGGGCCAGTCCTGGAGTCTGGGGAAGACTCTGATGAGGGCTCTGTGTCAGAGGCAGAGAGGGGGTCAGAACCATATGCCAGTTATCAGATGCCATCAGAGTCAGACATCAGTGAGGCAGATGAACAGCTGGAGCCTGTTCACAGTGTGTGCATGCACAGAGTTGCCAGATGAAGGGAACAGCTAAAGAACAGGGGTCGACTTGGGAGTAAGGCCACACGTGGATGATGAATGGCCCCTCCCACAGAAAATAAAGGGGAGTGGACTTTGCAGGAGACAATTAGTTTGATTAATTAGCTCGTGACTCTCTGAGACTCCTTGCCAAGTTTTGCAGATATCGACCTGGCAGCTCTCCAAGCCAGATAAGGTCTGTGACTGTAAATCCTCCCTTGAAAGACTTTGCTGGAGGTGAAGGAGCAGAATTCACAGTAAATTAATAAAAGGGTTTTTTGTCAGGACAAGGAGTTTTCCTCATGCTCTTGGGAAGCCTAGGTCAGAACACCATCTAAACCACAAGTTAAAGCAACTGCAATCCAAGAATCTATTATGGTGCCTTCAATAGTACAATATTTCACCTGTCATCAGTTTTTAAGATAATCCAGTCAAGATCTTCATGTCACGGATAGGAGTAATTGTCCTAAGATGGTCCAAAATCCCATCAAATACAGCTGCTTGAATCCTCGAAAGTCTTTTGAGTTTTGATTATTGGAACAGCCAGCATTTTGGAAGGAAGATGTTGGTAGAGATTGTGAGCTGAGAGTGCAAAGTGGATAGACTTACCTATATCACTCATGTATGCAAAACTTAATTTTCTATTTCTTCCTAAGTGTTGTGAGAAGGAAACTTGATTTTATTTATCTCTTTGTTCCAGTGGCTGTATAAACAAAATTAATGGTTGAGTATAGCTTGAAGAATCAGGTTGCCATTCTTTGCCTAGCTTCGTAACTTGAAATTTATTCTTATGTTGATGGATTTGCAGGAATCACCATGTTTGCAGTTGGCGTTGGTAAAGCTGTTGAGGAAGAGCTGAGGGAAATTGCTTCTGAACCAGTGGAGCAACATTTTTCATATTCAGCAGATTTCAATACCATGACTCATATAGTTGACAATCTCAAACTCAATATCTGCCCAGGTAAGATATTACAGCTTCCAGTATTTAGATGAGATGTTCCAGTAAAACCCAGGGGTAGCTTGTCCATTTTGCATCTTGGTTTATATCAGGGTGTCAAACCCAAGGACCGCAGGCCAGATCTGGCCCATGGGGTGCTTAGATCTGGCCCATGGGGACACCCTGGAAACAGCAAAGGACCAGCCCATCCCCCCCCCCAGGTTTTTTTTCCCACTGGCATGGGTTGCAGGAGGAAATCACAGCCAATAATGGAGCTTATGAGCCCATTTTTGCTGCCAGAGCTCTCAGGCCACCACAGGTGCCCCTGAGTGACATTAAGCTGGCCACGGCCCCCATCCCCTGAGGTCAAACACAACCCTGATATGGCCTTCAGTGAAATCAATTTTGACACCCATGATCTATATCTTGTCCTAACTATCACTCAGGATCCAGGTTACTTAGCACTACAAAATGATGTTGTAATCTGAAACAGCTAAGAATTGTTTATCAAATTTGCTTCACACCATAATTATAGCCTTGGGCAAGTCTTATTATATGTACTGTATAAATATACATACAAAAATAGTCATCATTAAATGTATTTCAGAGTCCTTAAATAAGCACAACATCTTATGGGTTTTAAACTATGAGTTATTAGGCTTATGGTTGAAGAAGACCATGGTTACAATAAATCTAAGCTTATTATTATGTGTGAACCCTCTAAAATGGGCAATTTATTTAAGATTGTCCTAGGGTGTTGGGCCTGGGGTTCATGCATAGAGGATTGAATTTCTATGTTTCTAATGAATTTTGTGGTATTTCAGAGGAGGGCACAGGAACAACTGAAATCCGTAGCCCATGTGAATGTGCAGCTCTCGTACAGTTCCAGACAAACACTATTGAAATCCTACAAGACCTCACCAATAAAAATATCCTTTAAATAGTGTAACTTGCACAGAATGTGTGATTGAAGAGATAGGGAAAATTTAAATTAAATAGGAAAAATGTTTAAATCTATCCTTTTAGCAAAATGTGAACTTTTTATTTTAAATGTCTTTGAGTATTTAAAACAATGAAGATTTAGGGAACTGTTCAACAAACTATTTAATCAAAGTACAAAATGTATGCTAAATTTCTAGGAACTAACACAGCAAGTAAAAAGTAAAGGTTCAGTGGATAAGGGATTGAATATAGTTGAGTGCTTACATTGATGTGTTTGCACTTTGAGGAAATGTAAGGAAAGGGGAAAAAAGGATTGCCTTGACATGCAGGTGGGATATGTTCCCTGCCATTCAACATTTCAGTGTATCTTCACATTATTTCTTGTTGTGGCTTCCTTAATGCAAGCACTTGCTCAGATGATGGCCAGACTCGATCATTTGGAAAACCAGATTGCCAACAAAAAGTGATTGTCGTGAAAAAGAGACCCTACATTTTGGGCAAAGAAATTTCTTGTACTTCATCCTTGGCATATCAAGAGTGGTTGCAATGGTTATCTGCTCAGGATCTTTAATGGGACTCTTTTTTCCTCCAGATTGTTTAAATTATAATTATTATTTTTTTTACATTTTTTCCCTTTTTTGGTAAAGATGAGTAGTTGAGATGGAACACGAATGAAACTGATTGACTTTTGGTAAGTGGACATTTCAGAGAAGGAAAAGGAAGTGACATGTATAGTGTCTTCAAGAGCTGCTGGGATTATTCAGTAATTATTGATTTTTTTTAAAAAAAAGGAATTTGAACCCAGAACTCTCGAATTGCGAAATAGGAGCAGGAAGCAAGAAATTCCTTCCTTGCTAAATTATATTTTCAGAAGAGACAGCATCACTGTCTAATGTTCCCAAACAAAAGAATATGTCGCGGTGGCGCAGTGGTTAGAGTGCAGTACTGCAGGCTACTTCTGCTGATCACCGGCTACCAGCAGTTTGGCAGATCGAATTCCTTTTTTTTAAAAAAAA